TCGCCCGGTGTCCCGCCCGTTCGTCCAACCCCACAGAGAATCCGGCAAGAGCCCGGCCGCGTATCCCTGAAGTGCCCAGCGCGAGAGAGTTCTGCGGAGAGCAACCCAAACCTAAAACCCTAAATGTGGAGAGTCCCACGATGGAAGCCTGCGGCGAAGTATCCGTAAGTACCTGTCCGAAAACGACGGGATGGCCCTTACTGGGGATTGTTGAACTGTTTTTTGTCTATTTATCATGTTTTCATGTGTATATACAAATATGTATATATATATATATGTACATCTATTCGTGTGTGTGTGTGTGTGTGTGTGTGTGTGTGTGTGTGTGTGTGTGTGTGTGTGTGTGTGTGTGTGTGTGTGTGTGTTTCTTCGTGTTACAGCATATTATGTTTCACCATTGTATTAAATATACTGGTGGCATCATTGTAGTTGAACCACGTCTTGGCCGGGACGGTACACATGTGTGCCACTGCGTCGGCTCTTCAGTTGAAGTACTTCTCTGGTACATCTGTGAAAATCTGACAACGAAGCTGCGTTGTAGAAAAAGGATCGGCTGCTCTCAATATCGGGACAATTGGCATAAGAGGTCTGTCACCTGATTCGAAGGATTCAGGGCGTGGCCAAGCTCCACCTGAAAGCTACCACCCTGAGGAGCTCTTGCGAGTAACGATGCTACCGACAACTTTCCCACGCAAGCTGCCTCAACATCATACTACCCAGCAGGTTAGGGTCGATTCAGCACCAACCCCTTCAGATTGACAGTGGTTTGGATGTTGCGCGAGGTCTTCAGATTCAGAAGTTCCAACTGCACCTGCAGTTTGCACATAACCTTGACCGGAACACCCTAAACCCTAAACCCTAAACCCCAAACCCCAAACCCTAAACCCTAAACCCTAAACCCTAAACCCTAAACCCTAAACCCTAAACCCTAAACTGCGGCATCCGGACCAGATCCGACGCTGCGGGCCGCATCTGCTTGGCGCGCAACATCCGGCCATTTTCGCTTATCAGCTATCCGCCATCCACTTGAGAACATCTACTTTAGCATCCCACGCCTCGTATGCACGCACAGCTTGGGCAGCGCACAGCTTGGGAAGTGCCAGCTGGGTTTCGAATGTCAGATTTGGGTTTAGGGTTTTAGGTTTAGGGTTTAGGCCCATGAAACGTAAAGCCAACAGTGTTTGGGCCAGCCGCGTCGGGTAGTGTTTCGGGCTTTGGGGGTTTGGGCTCCAAGAGTTTGACTGGTTGGTTCTTAGTAGGGAATGGGGGAATGAGGTACCCTACAGAATCCCCTTAACGGGTATACCCTAAACCCTAAACCGGTACCCTACATAATCCCTTAAAGATCTCTGAAAGGGTATTCATAAGGGGATCTAGGGAACCCCGTTCCTTCACTCCCTGCTGAGAACCAGCCAGTTGAGTTTGCAATCCGACCTCCTGACAGGGCAACTATGGGCCTACAGGCATGCTCTAAGCCCTAAGGCCCTCAGGTTTAGGGTTTAGGGTTTAGGTTTAGGGTTTAATGTTTAGGCTTAGGGCTTAGGGCTTAGGGCTTAGGGCTTAGGGCTTAGGGTTTAAGGGCCTTAAGCCCCTGACTCAAGCTCCTGAACCCGCGAGCCTCTTGCCCACATCTCGCAGGTTGTCTCTTGCGTCTACTCACACAAGCCTCGCACAACCCCGAGCCCTGGCCTCTCCCTCTTGTTGTGAAAGGGCTTGATGGTTTCTTAGGGGTTGAGAAGGGGTTGTAAGATAGCCCTTACACTAGCAGTCCTTTCTGGGGATATTCTCGTACCCCCCCACTAGAATCCCTATTAAGGACTGTTAGTATAAGGGAGGACATCCAAACCCTGAACCCCTCAACTCTCTAAACTGCGGCGGTCTCAGGCTTTCCAACCCGGCGCGGGGTCCCAGCGGGTCAAGAGCAGCATATCTGTGCCTATTTCTTACTCCTTTTGTCTGGACTTCTTGTTACAGAACTTTCGTTCAGACACCTTAGGGTTTAGGGTTTATATGGGTTCCTAGTATTGTTCACAGAGTGAAGGATAAAATGCCCTGACAGCGGCAAGTTAATCTGAAGCTCATTAACAAGAACCGGTTTTTGTTGTCATGCTGAAGACTCAAAAACATGATTAAATCATTGGTTTCCCTACTACCCCCCTCTATACTACCCCCCCCCCCCCCCCGCTAGGTTCCCCCCATAAAGATTAAGGCTATTTAGGGATAGTTAAGCCCGAAACCCTAAAGATTAAAGGGCTGGAGCCTGGCGGCCTCCAGAAGTGAGTTGTTACGTGGGTGGGATCTGTGCAGCCGTACCGTGTAGGGTTTAGGGTTTAGGGTTTAGGGTTTGGGGTTTGGGGTTTGGGGTTTAGGGTTTAGGGTTTAGGGGGTTTGGGGCTTAGGGCTTAAGGATTTTGGGGTTTCGGGGTTTCAGGGATTCGGCTTGTTGTGCTCCAGATCCCGAGAAGGGTGGGAGAAACTGGCCCTGGATGGTGGGAACTTGGAGGTTCATGGTACTTATATTCCAATGATGACAGGGTTTACGGTTTAGGGTATAGGGTATAGGGTTTAGGGGTACTTATAACCCAATGATAACTGCACGTACAACCGAATTACGAGCCCTTTAAGTGCCCTAATAACAGCTCGAATTGGGTTATTAAGTACCATGAACCTCCAAGTAACCCCTCAAAGCCTAAACCCGAAACCCGAAACCCGAAACCCTAAACCCTAAACCCTAAACCCTAAACCCTAAACCCTAAACCCTAAACCCTAAACCCTAAACCCTAAACCCTAAACCCTAAACCCTAAACCTAAACCCTAAACCCTAAACCCTAAACCTCCAAGTAGATGACATGGGAAGTCAAGGCTTCCTTTTTCTCCCCATATTCAACCCTACAAAGGGCCCCTGTTTAGGGTTTAGGGTTTAGGGTTTAGGGTTTTGGGTTAGGGTTACAGGGTGTAATCGCCCATGCTGGTACTATTGGGCCCTTTTATCCCCATAGTCAACGGGCCCCTTTTAAGGGGGTTATAGGGTATAATAGACCATGCTTGTAGATCCCTTCAACAGCTCAAACAAACAGCCCAGACACACCCTTGCAGCTTGGGGCTCTCTTTTGTCTTGAAGCGTTCGCTTAAAAGCCCTATAACCCCTAAACCCCAAACCCCAAACCCTAAGCCCTATTCGCCTAGGAGCATGCCTCGCGCCGATTGTTGCGCGCTGTGGGCAGCTCTGCGACACCGCAGATCCCAATGCCGCACGAGAATGAAGGTGGCTATAGATCGAAGTTCCGAAGATTAGGGTTTGGGGTTTAGGGTTTAGGGTTTAGGGTTTAGGGTTTAGGGTTCAGGGTTCAGGGTTTAGGGTTTAGGGTTTAGGGTTTAGGGTTTAGGGTTGCAAACATCTAGAAGACAAATTGACATGTTCCCCCTTATACGAACAGCGTCCTTAACTGAGGTTATTAGTATCCCTTACGAGAAAGCCTCTCAACATCCCGAAATACAGTCCCCAAGACATACCCTAAAACCTAAAACCTAAACCCTAAACCCTAAACCCTAAACCCTAAACCCTAAGCTTCCAAGGGTTGAAGAGTCACCACAACGAAGGAACGCCCGAAGAACATTCGTCGGGGCCGGGAATTCAAGCCCTAAACCCTGAACCCATGTCGGGTTGCAGGGCTTTTGTGCCTTGTAAGGTTTGTAAAAGGGTTTAGGATTTAGGGTTTAGGGTGTAGGGGTGAGTTTCTACGGCAGCGCTTTATCCACAGAGCTCTTGCTTTCTGTGACAAGCACGGGACGGTTGCAGAACAGCTCGTTGTTTTTGTCGCATCTTGAGGCTACAAGAGAAGGTGAGGGCCTCGTTTTGTTTCGATGTGCTTGTGAGAGACCATGAGTACATTCCGGAGGTCAAAGGAGTTGAGCTGATGTGAAAAGCACCCTAAACCCTAAACCCTAAACCCTAAACCCCTTCAACCCCTTAGAGCAGCTAAGCCTCTGCCTTGTCCGGAACCTTGGGATTCGGCGGCGGGGAAGAGAGACCCGAAGCCTCAATATGTTGCAAGCAGTCAAGACCTTCCCAGTACAGGGTGGGGCCCCCTTACTATACTAACTGTAGTTAAGGGACTTATAACCTAACTTAGGGCCCTTATAACCCAATTTAGGGCCCTTATAACTCTGCTTATAACTAGGGGGCCCCACCCTGTAGAACTCAGTAGGGACTTGGATTTAGGGTTTAGGGCCTGGTTACCCTAAACCCTAAACCCTAAAGCTGTATCCATCTGAACGAACTGGCCATGACAAGGTCTCCTCACATCGTAAGTTGCACACTGCCTCTTCATTATCATCTGAGTGGCTGTCAAATTTCATGATCCCTGTTGGGGTACCTCAAATATTAGATGCCGTAGTTTAAGAGGGATCCAGAAAGGGACCATAACTTTCACAACCACCCATCTAAAAGTATTCACACTCCTTTTTGAGACCCTCTCGTACGTAGCCTAAGAGCAGCCCTTCATACGTGACTTCCCTAAGCCTTCGGTATACCCCCCAGCGTCCATCGAAGTAAAACCTAAACCCTAAACCCTAAACCCTAAACCCTAAACCCTAAACCCTAAACCGTGGCTCTGACAACCACTTGAGGGGCCCAAAGGCCCCTGCGCCAGGTCCCAGAAGCCGGCGCGTGGACCCCTGCAATCTCCTGGCCGAGGAAACCTGGGGTCGATTTAGGTTCATAGGGTTCAGGGTTTAGGGTTTAGGGTTTAGGATTTAGGGCTTTTAGAGGGTTTTTGAGGCTCTGTTGTGCATCAAGCACTTTCGCACTTCCAGTGAGCGGCATGTGAGTGTGCATGCTGCGGTGCTTGTGTGCAAGCACAGGGCGTGGAGCCCATCAGCACAAAGTTCCGAAGTGCTCCACCCAAAACCCTTTTGGCTCAACAGCATCCCTGAGTGGCCCATGTTGAACGACGATTCGCCACAGGGACACGCACCTGGAGCCGGATCAGTGCTCGTTGATGTCATCATCTGCACGGCTCAAGTACCGGATCATCAAATGTACCTCTGAGGACCCCGAGTATCCGGTGTCCGAGCTCCTAACGCACTCATCCCAGACCAAGGGCTGGCAGACGGCCCGATTCTGCGATTTTCCACAGGAGATCGGTCTGCAGTTTGAGACTCCAGTACACTTGAGGCAGGTCCAGTTCTTATCCCACCAGAGCAAGATTGCCACCAAAATCGACCTCTACACCGCACTGCCTGCTGCAGGCCAGGCCTATGAGGCCTTGAGCTTCAAACGCTTGGGCTACCTGTCGCTGGATAGCAATGAGCGCTCCCAGTTTCAAGCTCGGGAGTTGAAGAGTGTGTACGTTGATGTCTCAGCACAGTACATGAAGATCTTGTTCCACAAGTGCCACGTCAACCGCTACAACATTGTGAACCAGGTGGGCCTCATAGCGCTGAACTGCTTGGGTGAGGCACTGGGGCCAGACCTGGCGATGGGACCACCACCACCGAACCCGGCACTGGTGAGGGGCCCCTCCGATGGCTACCCGGCACCCCAAGCATCGCCGCCGCCGCCATCGCAACCGTCGGTGCAGGATTCTGCCCAGGCTGCTGCAGATGAGATGCGCTATGATTCGCAGACCTTGGAACGAATACGTTCCCTGTCGAATGCAAAGTCCAGGGCCGTCGATGCCGAAGACTACGAGGAGGCGAAGCGCTGCAAGGAAATGCTTGCGAGGCTGCGCCAAACCGGCCTTTTGCTCCGGGAACTGGAGGATCGAAAGAAGGCCGCTGTACAAAATGAAGACTACGATGCCGCGAAAGCGTTGAAAAGCGAGATCGATCGCCTGCGCAGTGCGATCGAGCGGCCGGAGCCTACAAAGGCCGAGCGGCCGCATTCGGGCAGGAGTCAGCGCAGCAACAGCCTCGGGCCAATCAGCCGTGCTGGGGCTGGAAGTCCTGACTTCGCCAGCCACGGCGTGCCGCGCGGCGGGCACCAGCCGCAGATGTCGCAAAAGCCCGAGGCTGTTGCGGCTGTCGCGTCGCCAGGGCCAGCGCCCCCCTCCCGCGGTAAGCGCTCGCCCTCGCCAGGCCTGCCAGCATTCCCCGTGGCGGGCATGGAGGAGCAAAACCCCCAAACCCTAAACCCTATACCCTATACCCTATAAACCCTAAACCCTGGAGGAGGACCAGGCCTCAGTCCCACGACGAGATATCAGCTCTCCGCCATTGCCGGCGGCGGGTGGGGCCCGGGTGGCAAGAACGCCGCCCCTGGGTGCCGCCTCACGTAGCACCTTGAGAACCAAATGGGTTTAGGGTTCAGGGTTTAGGGTTTGGGGTTTGGGGTTTAGGGTTTAGGGTTTAGGTTTATTTTAGGGTTCATTTGGTTCCTTCCAAGGCACGCCCAAGGAGCTGCCACCGGAGCAGCCGCCGCTGTCTGCGCGCAGCGCCGGTCCCGGTTTCGATGCAGCCGACCACCCACTGAGCGGTGTGCCCAATGTGGAGGACTTGAGTCACTTCGTAGAAGAGTAGATAACCTTTAACCGTTTTGGGGTTTAAAGTTCCCATATAATCCCCAAGGTTAACCTGTAGTTTTCTAGGCTACTGGACAACTAAGGTCAACCAGAGCCACTGAACAGCAGCTTTCAGAAGGAAGCGGAGCCACTCATTGAGCTCTTTGGCGAGTACCTGACGAACTGTGTCTACTCGAAGACATGGAGCTTGCGCGATGCCGCTCTGCAGAAGTTAACTTTGGATCTGCAACAAGGCAAGCACCAGTCGATAGATCAGAGTCGGCTTCTTGCGGGCTACGTGGTCGTGCTGAAGCGACTCGGTAGCCCAAAGGTACCCCTTGTGCCCTGTTTTTGGTTCGAGGTACCCTTACAAAGTAACCAACCCAAAAAAAGGTACCCTGACAAAAAAAAGTATGGGTACTGGGCTGCCAAGGCTACTTACCTAAACCCTAAACCCGAAACCCTAAACCCTAACCCCTAACCGCTAAACCCTAAACCCTAAACCCTAAACCCTAAACCCTAAACCCTAAACCCTAAACCCTAAACCCTAAACCCTAAACCCTAAACCCTAAACCCTACCAAGGCGAATGGTGCCAGACAAGAACGTCCAGGTGTTCCTGGCTGCAGCGACGCTGCTGCATACGGTTTGCCAAGAACTCCTGGGCCGCTCCGGGCCGCGACGTTCAGAGGCACACGCGGCTCCTCACCAGCATGGGGTGAAGGGTTTAGGGTTTAGGGTTTAGGGTTTAGGGTTTGGGTAATTTGCCGTACCTTATAACCCCTTCAAAAGGACCTTTACATGGGCTATTATACCCTGAAACCCCTTAAAAAGCACCTTTGCATGGCCTATATTATACCTACAACCGCTTAAAAGGCTATTATCCCCGATAACGCTTCAAACAAATACCCGATAACCCCTTAACAAGAACATTCTACCCTACAAGCCCTTACAAAGGACCTTTACATGAGCTATTCTACCCCTGTAACCCCTTACAAAGGACCTTGGTATGGGAAAAATACCCTATAACCTCTTAACACGGACCTTTACATGGGCTACGAAACCCTATAACCCCGTAAAAGGGACCTTTACAGCTTACAACCCTACATAACCCTTAAAAAGACCATTTACAACCCCATATAACCCCTGAATAAAGGCCCTTCATAGGGTTGATTATGACCCTAAACCCTAAACCCTAGACCCTAAACGAATCCTGGAGCCTAACCGCCCATTCTGCCAGCTGTCCCAGTTTAGGTATGCATTGGATTCTTCTTGGGGGTGTAGCAAAACACCAAACTCCAAACCCTAAACCCTAATCCCATACCAACCCTATACCCTATACCCTATATACCCCATATAAAAATGTATGTATATATTTTTATTTATTTATTTATACATATATATATATATACCCCATGAACCCTAAACCCAGACAAAAAAAAATACTGTTTTTACACACCTTTTGGCCAGTGCATCGTACTACGAGGCTCTCGACCCTTTGATGCCTTTACTGGTGGATCGCTTGGGAGATAGCAACGCGCGGGTGGACAAAGCAGCAAGGGATGCTCACTTGTGTGACCTCATGCGCTGCCCTACGGTTCCTTGGGGGGTTTAGGGTTTAGGGTTTAGGGCTTAGGGTTTAGGGTTTAGGGTTTAGGGTTTAGGGTTACTACATCAACCCTTAAAGGAGTTATGGTTCCTTGGGGATTACCTCAGCCCATAAAGGAGTTATGGTCCAGATTCTCTACCTGGGACCCTCTTTACCTACAGTTTTATGGGTTATACCTGCTAATTAAGGGCAATTACTACTAAACTGTAGTTAGGTAAATAGAGTCCCAGGTAATCCCTATGAGTATTCCCTATTTGGGGTTGGATGGTTTTCGATTTTAGGCTTCGTTTGGTCTCTGAGGTTGGCGCCACCTTCACCGCGCAGTACCTGCTTAGGCCGCCCAAGAAGAAATCCGTGAATCCTCGGGTCTACATCTCGCGGCTGCAGCTACTTGGTAACCCAGTGTGGTTCACTTCTGCACTTTGTTGGTTCTGTAGGTGCCCTTCTACAGCAACCCACCCCAAACAGGGCATACCCTTAGTATACTGTGGTTTCTGGGCTACCAAGGCTACTGGCCTAAACCCTAAATACCCTAATACCCTAAATACCCTAAATACCCTAAATATCCTAAATACCCTAAATACCCTAAATACCCTAATACCCTAAATACCCTTAATACCCTAAATACCCTAATACCCTAAATACCCTTAATACCCTAAATACCCTAAATACCCTAAATACCCTAAATACCCAAATACCCTACATACCCTAAATACCCAAATACCCTTAATACCCTAAATGCCCTAAATACCCTACATACCCTACATACCCTAAATACCCTAAATACCCTAAATACCCTAAACCCTAAACCCTACCAAGGCTACTTACCAGTATGGTCACGGAGGCAGGGATCCAGCCAGAGAGTAAGGAAGGGCTGCCCTTGGATCCCACGGTGCAGCTTGCCATGGAGTCTTGGCTTTCTTCTGCGTGGCTCTTAGGACTTCAGGGTTTAGGGTTTAGGGTTTAGGGTTTAGGGTTTAGGTCTAGGGTTTAGGACTTTAGCCTTATGAGACTACAATGAAGAGCCTAGAAGTTAAACTTTATTCAACCTTATGAAAAGACAATAAGGAGCCTAAACGTCAAACTTTTTTAGGAGTGGTTCAGAAGTCCCCTAAACACTAACCCCTAAGCCCTAAAGCCTAAACCCTGAACGGCTCAGGATTGGTTCAGCAATGCCAATGGCGATGTCCGCGAGAGCGCCGTGAAGCTGGTTGCCGCCTGCTATGCCCACGCCGGCTTGCCTCGCATTGAGAAGCTTAGTAGCAGAGCAGATAACCTTTAACCTAGAGTTTAGGGTTTACGGTTTAGGGTTTTATAGTTCCTACATAATCCCAAGGTTAACCTTTAGTTTGTTCAGGCTACTGGACAACTCAGGAAGTACCTTGCCAACCTCCGGCAGGCGCAGCGCGAGATCTTCGATGAAGAGTTCGACCGGGTGGACTCAGGCGACGGCCTCGGTGCCGGGGAGGACAACCTGGGTATCTCACTCCTCCAACAGCTGAACTTTATGAGTTTTTTGGGTTTCAAATTTCCTTATTCAGTAGGAAGAATAAAGTTTAAGCTTTTTTCCCTAAACCCTAAACCCCAAACCCCAAACCCTAAACCCTGAACCCTGAACCCTGAACTGAGAAGTAAGGTATGCCGACCCAGCGCACGGCGCGAACGGCCGGCAGCAACCGGTCGACCCCCAAAGGTCAGGGCATCTTGCTGGCCCAGTGTTGTACCCTTTTTCTCCGTTTTTGTTTTGGGTTCAAGGTTCCCTTCTTAAAGTAACCAACCCAAAAAAAGGGTTTAGGGTTTAGGGTTTAGGGTTTAGGGTTTAGGGTTTAGGGTTTAGGGTTTAGGGTTTAGGGTTTAGGGTTGTAATGGTTACTGGGCTACCAAGGCATTGTTGCGGGGGCCATTCCCGAGGAGGCCGCTGTCGAGGTAGAGGATGTGACCAAGTGCCAGTTTCTTGGGGGGACGAACCCTAAACCCTAAAAAGGGTTTGTGGTTCAGATGCCTTAGAATAGGAATAATCGTAGTCTAGGATATGTGACATATGACCCCCAACTTTAGGGTTCGTTTGGTCTCCAAGGTTCTGCGGCCTTCGCAACCCAGAGGCCACGCAAGAGGCCATGGACGTCCACTACTGGCGAGAGTGCCCAATGCTGACATCATGCCAGTTCTGTGAGCAGGTCATCGAGTCTCTAGGATGCCCCAGTTTGCTACTCCTTTGAGTTGCTTTTGAGGCTTTGGGTGCCTTGCCAAAAACAGATTTTTCGACCAAAAAAAGAACGCATTCAAGGCACCCTTTTCATTCCTGAGTCTGACCGGGCTACCAAGGATTGCAACGTTGGCATCCCATTGGAGGGAGGAATGCGAGCATAGAAGTGCAGCGACCGAGGCCTCCAAGGACCTGGCACGGAGCCAGTGCCCCCTCTGCCATGCAGACATAGGCGCAGGCGAAGAACAGGATTCTCAGTAGCTGAGCGAGTACACTTTACACTTTTTTTGGGGATACTATAATCCCCTATAAAACTGAAAGTGTACACCTCTGGGGGGGGGGCTTATGAACTCAGCAACTAAGGATTGGCTCCAACACATCCTCCGTGATGGGTGCGCAGGAAACCCCCGAAAGCCGCCATCATGAGCATGGCAGCTGACATGCCGCTAATGCACACTCAGAGCCATTATGTTATATACGTCGAAGCATGAGTTGAGTTGCCCACCCTGCAGACAGCAGCAGAGTTCAGAATTCCGCACCCTTTGTTTCAAGTGTTGGCATCTCATGCTTCATGCTCAGCTGTTGCACGCCCCGTCTCACCTCATATGTTCAAATTTAAACTCCATCTTGCGCGAAGTCGAGGAAATGGTGGCCAGGCACGCCTGCCTTGCGTATTGTTTTCCAGTGTGAGAGTCGAAGCCCTTCCTGCTAAACCCACTATGTTTCCAAGGATCTCGAGGCGATAAAGCTGCTTGAGGCCGCATACGCCCAGGCGCCTGCTGGGCGGGGCCGACGGTCAAGCAGGGTGTTTAGGTTTTTCGGGCATTGTTTGGGGTGTATACGGTCAGAGCGTCATTGTAGAAACACGGTTTACAACAAGGCTTAGTGCTTCGTTGTCTCTGGCGATTGCCCAAGCCCAGATGCAAAAGGGCAACGCTTCCTCGAACCTCTACGTCTAAGGGTAGCTATACTAAACCCTAAACCCTAAACCCTAAACCCTATAAGGGCCCATACAAAGGGACTATACGCTTAAAGTTGACGCTTTAGAGTTTGCAGAAGAAGTCGCCCCTCGAAGCAGTTGCAGCCAGACGGGCGCGCGCCCGCTATTCCCCATTTCTCAATGACACTGTGAAGGTTTAGGGTTTAGGGTTTAGAGCTAGGGTTTAGGATTTAGGGTTAAGGGTTTAGGGTTTAGGGTTCAGGGTTTAGGGTTTAGGGTTTAGGGTTTAGGGTTCAAAGTCTGGTCTATTTTGTTTCTATTCCCACATGATGCCTCATGCCCCCGTTTGGGGCATCCACAGCGCGATCGACTCCCAAACCCTGGAGCCTTGCCCCGTGGACCTCGTTAGGAGTTTGTCCGCCTGCGTCGTCTTCTGCACTCCATGGGGCAGGACCTTCCGACCCTCGCATCTCAGCCCCTAAACCCCAAACCCTACATCCTAAACTCTTAGGGTTAGGGTGTAGGGTTTAGGGTTTAGGGTTTAGGGTTCAGGTTTAGGTTTAGGGTTTAAGGAGACTGAGCCCTAAGGGTCCATGTACCTCAATAGAGAATACTTTGGCCTTAAAGTACCTCCTATTTAGGGACTGTTGGACCCAAGGACAGAAGAATAGGATAACACGGACCCTTAGAGCAACCCTGAACCCCCCTAAACCCTTAAGCCTTAACCCTAAACCCTAAACCCGTAACCCGTAACCCGTAACCCGTAACCCGTAAACCCTAAACCCTAAACCCTAAACCCTAAACCCTAAACCCTAAACCCTAAACCCTAAACCCTAAACCCTAAACCCTAAACCAAACCCCAAACCCTGCTAGTTACTAGCTATCTTTGTAAATACAAAATAAATACAGTTTATATATATATATATATAAATATTCATAGACTATAATATATACGATACATACATATGTATATGCATATATACATTTTGTTTCTCTCTCTCTCTCTCTCTCTCCCTTTCTCTCTTTTTCTCTTAATATCTCCCAAAATATCCTGCATGGAAATTTGCATGTTTCGGGGACCCGCCCCAGTCCAAAGCGACCTCTGTTGTCTTGGCTTGGGGCTTTAATGGGCATTGTACTTGTGTTAATACGGAGGTGGAAGCCTAAGACACGAGAACTCGAGTTCCTTCCTCCTCCTCGCGGAGGACGAATGCCTAAACCCTAAACCCTAAACCCCAAACCCTTAACCCTAAACCCTAGGGCGGCCAGAGCTGCAGCGAAGGAGATCCCACATGCCATCGCCTCCGACCGGCCAGCATCCTACTGCGCCTTGTCTGGGCTAGGGTTTAGGGTTTAGGGTTTCGGGTTTAGGGTTTCCGGGCTGAATGAGACCACAGAAGCCCCCCAAACAAGCAAGCCTCAAGAAGGGAGTATGGGGCCACTCACGCCCCCGTTTCCCCCCTCCCTTTCTAAAGAGCATGTACCGAAGTTTCGATGGCAGTTGGGGAATATGACTCTTACTTGGTAGCCGGGTGATACCCTTTTCCCTTTTTCGGTCAAGGTTCCCTGATAAAGTAACCAACCCCAAGAAAGGCTGCCCTATTAACAGTCCCTAAACCCTAAACCCTAAACCCTAAACCCTAAACCCTAAACCCTAAACCCTAAACCCTAAGCCCTTATTTAAAAGTGAAAACCCTAAATCCTAAATCCCAAACCCTAAACCCTAAACCCTAAACCCTAAACCCTAAGCCCTTATTTAAAAGTGAAAACCCTAAATCCTAAATCCCAAGCCCTAAACCCTAAACCCTAAACCCTAAGCCCTTATTTAAAAGTGAAAACCCTAAATCCTAAATCCCAAGCCCTAAACCCTAATCCAGGTGAGCGCTTCAGAGTGAGACACGGCGACGAGCAAGGCAGCGAGAAGGAAAGACAACGAGGCGTTTACACCCAAAAACCCTGAACACCCCTAAACCCTAAACCCTAAACCCTAAACCCTAAACCCTAAACCCTAAACCCTAAACCCTAAACCCTAAACCCTAAACCCTAAATAAACCCTAAACCCTAAACCCTAAACCCTAAACCCTAAACCCTAAACCCTAAACCCTAAACCCTAAACCCTAAACCCCAACCCCTTCAGGAACTAATTCAAGGGCTACAATGGCTCAGGGTGAACCTTAACACTCCAAACCCCATGTACCCCATAACCGCAACAAATCCGCATGGGGTTGGGGTTTATAGAAGTGTTTCGGGTTTAGGGTTTAGGGTTTAGGGTGGCAGAAGAAAGCCCCAAATCCAGCCCAAGTCCACCCCACACTCTGATAGTTCATCTTGACGAATATGGTCAAAGCAGGACTGTACTAGGTGGACATTTTGGGTTTAGGGTTTATGGTTTAGGGTGTTTCCTTATTTGGGTAATTTCCCAAGCTGAGGGGTACTGCTCGTGACTTGAGTGACCTATCGAAACCTGGCCCACCGCTTGCAAGCGTGAGAGTCGAAGCCCTCAAAGAAGCCGAGCAAACGAGGAAGTCACCACTGAACCCTGGGTGTAGGGTTTAGGGGTTTGGGTTTAGGGTTTAGGGTATAGGGTAGGGTATAGGGTTTAGGGTTTAGGGTTTAGGGTTTAGGGTTTAGGGTTTAGGGTTTAGGGTTTAGGGTTTAGGGTTTAGGGTTTAGGGTTTAGGGGTTTCATGGTTTAGGGTAACCCTACAAAGCCTTTGAAGTAGTTCGTTTTGCGGGGCGATCAGAGTGTGACTGCCGCTCGACGCACTCAAGGGCCCTGTTCGGGATCATGCTCCGGGTTTAGGGTAAGTTATATAAAAGCCATAAAACCCTAGACCCTAGACCCTAAACCCTAAACCCTAAACCCTAAACCCTAAACCCTAAACCCTAAACCCTAAACCCTAAACCCTAAACCCTAAACCCTAAACCCTAAACCCTAAACCCTAACCCTAAACCCGATACCCTGGCCGACATGGCTAGCAGGCCCATAGTCTTAGGGGTGCGGGGTCCTCAGGCTCAGGGCTTTGGGGTTTAGGATGCAGGTTTAGGGTTTAGAGTTTAGGGTTTAGGGTTTAGGGCTTGGAGTTCAGGGTGCAGAGATCCTCTTATGAGGGTTCAGGATTGTGGGGGTGGATCCTTGTAGGAATTTTTGGGTGTGGGGTTTAGGAGCATTTCCTTTCCTTTCAGGCTTGGAAGCTCTTTTGACTTAGGAAGTCGACTTACTATCCCCTAGAAACCGCATTATAACCCCCAGAACCCAACCTACTTGCGAAATCAAAAGAGCTTCTAAGTCGCTTTGGGCAACATAACCCCTAAACCCCTAAACCCCTAAACCCCTAAACCCCTCAACCCCTCAACCCCTCAACCCCTCAACCCCTAAACCCCTAAAACCCCTAAACCCCTAAACCCCTAAACACGAAACCCTAAGTCCCATTTTTGAGCTTCGGGCGATGTCCTCATGGCAGCTCCCAGCGCACGCAGGGTGCAACGGGCGCTAGGCCGGCATGCAAGCCCGACGCCGGGCGTGCATGGCCTAAACCCTAAACTTAAACCGTAAGCCCTAAACCCTAAAGCCTAAATCCTAAACCCTAACAGGCTCAAGGCAATTGTTTAAGGGTCAAAGACGGCTCTTGGGTTAGCGGTTTCAGGTGTTCTTCCCCCAAACGTCCGAGCCAAGGGAGGTCCATGCAGAAGAACCATCGGGAACCAGGGGTTTAGGGTTTAGGGTTAGGGTTTAGGGTTCAGGGTTAGGGTTTAGGGTTTAGGGTTTGGGGTTTGGGGTTTGGGGTTTGGGGTTTGGGGTTTGGGGTTTGGGGTTTGGGGTTTGGGGTTTGGGGTTTGGGGTTTGGGGTTCGGGGTTTGGGGTTTGGGGTTGAGGCCATGCATGCCCTCACCCAGAAAAATTTCGACCTCTACCTCCGACTCTCTAGAACCCCGTTTGGGGTTTAGGGGCTTTAGGACTGCCTCTGAAGTTGACAAGTTTGCTTGATATACCCGCATGAACCAGCCACGGTTTAGGGTTTAGGGCCTAGGGTTTAGGGTTTGGGGTTTAGGGTTTAGGGTTTAGGGAGTTAACAAGCCTTTAGGTGCTGAGAGGAGCTAAGCGTTACCTTTTAGAATATTATAAGCCCCCTTTTGCCAGGATTAACTTTTCCCCGCCTAGGAACCCTAAACCCTAAACCCTAAACTCTGAACCCTAAACCCTAACCCCAGTGTGGCAGGGAGCCACCAGGCCCCTCATGCTTGAACTTCCTAACTCGTTGCATATTGGGGTCATGAGCCAACCCCATCAGTGGGGAAGTAACTCCTATTCAAGTTTAGGGTTTAGGGGTTTAGGGGTTTAGGGGTTTAGGGGTTTAGGGGTTTAGGGTTTAGGGTTTAGGGAAAGTTCCATACGCCCCTCCACAAACCCGGAAGTTCGCGTTGAGGATACCAGGAAAGCGCTATGAAAGCCCTGGCGCGACATCAGCTCTGGGCACCTCGACTACTAGGGTTTAGGGTTCAGGGTGGTTCAGGGCAGGGCTATGTAGGTTTTTTTCGGACGTATAGGATCCGATATGTTGATACCTGGCTTTTATGGGGTTGTTAAACCTGATAGGGTTCATCCAGTTTTCGGAAGGGCCATTTAAGGTTGTTTGTGGCTTGTAAGGCTCACACGGTTACAGGATTTAAGCCTTTCTGTTTGGGCTTGCCGAGCTGACGGGGGCCTGGAGGCTTGCAAAGCTTAGAGAAGGACATTGGTACCCAAAGGAATTAGGAATATGCCCCAGGGGCCCTAGCTCCTTCTTATAAACTCTACATGGGTAGTTCTCTAAATGAGGGCCCCTTTTTCGATTGTAAGATGAAAAAGGGATCCCAAGAAGGGAGCCTAATTTAGAGAACTACCCACATCCTAAACCCTCGATTCAGTGGCAAGAATTCTGTTCCCAGGATCGGGCCCTGGACTTGATCCTGGCAGCCAAAGACAGCTACCAGGACGAATGCTGGCTGGTTCTTCGTAGGGAATGAGTCCCTAATTCCCTCATCCCCTACTAAGAACCAGGACGAAGACGCGGGGGCAGTTCCAGGCTTCGGGGGGGTCGACATATGTTTCCTGGAGCCCCAAACCCTGAAACCCTAAACGCTTAACCCTATAACCCGATAACCCTATACCCCTATAACCCTATAAACCCTATAAACCCTATAAACCCTATAAACCCTATAAACCCTATAAACCCTATAAACCCTAAAGCCGAAAGCTTCATCTACATCCCTAAACCCTAAGCCCAACACCCTAAACCCTAAACCTTTAACCCTAAATCCTAATGTATATTCGCCATGTAACAGATAATCCAAATCTCTCGACGAACGCCAAGCATCCTGGCAGCCGGCACACGGAGTCGGTTCAGGCTGTGGACGTGGGAGACATCTCATGCGAAGCTTAGGATTTGGGGTTTAGGGTTTAGGGATCCATGTTTCCACGGAGATGTACGAGGCGCATGCAGTTATGTGGGGTCGGTTGGCTGAGGAGTGTGTGACAAACTTTCACCAAATTGTGCTACTTGACATTTTAGATGATGTCACTATGGAACGGGTGACGCAGCTAGCCTTGCAGTCACGAGAACTGTGAAGCTGGTTGTGTGAGCCTGACTTTCCCGGCAGCTGTGCAGACCTGGTTGTAAAAGGGTTTAGGGTTTAGGGGTTTAGGGGTTTAGGGTGTGGTTGATAAGGTCAGAACGGTCCTTGAGTAGCCACGAGTGCTGCTGTAAGGGAGGTCCTTAGTACCCGGCTGGCTGCAGAGACCTGGTTGCAAAAGGGGTTTAGGGTGCAGGGTTAAAATCTTATCACCTAACCCCCTTTCCTACTACTGTGCTTTAACGCGCTTAGTGCCCTGCAGTGCTCCCGGAGTGTCAGCTGGGTGGGCGGCAAGCAAAGGCCCTACACCCTAAACCTCTGCTTGGAGGTTCGTGGTACTTAATAGCCAATTATAGCTGTACTTATCATCCACTTATAAGCCCCTTAATTACCCTAATATGGTTACAATTGGGTGAGAAGTGCATTCACTATTTGGTTAGTAGGTACTATGAACCTCCAAGTAGACCTCTAAGCCCTAAACCCTCAACCCTCAACCCTAAACCTTAAACCGCAGGAACAGACGGGCAGGCTTTGCACTTCTGCTGCCTCTGCCTGTGGCCGCGCAAAACGCTGGGCGGGAGCTTTGGCATTGCAGCCGGGCAGGAGGAGCTAAGCGCAGGTTTCGGGTTTAGGGTTAGGGTTTGGGGTTTGGGGTTTGGGGTTTGGGGTTTGGGGTTTGGGGTTTGGGGTTTTGGGTTTTGCCCAACAAGGGTTTGGGTGTCAATTCGTGGGAGAGAGAGGGAGGAGGGGTAGAGCCTCGACAGAGGCTTCCTGGTCTCAGGTTCCCTACACCCTAAACCCTAAGCCCTAAACCCTAAAGTCCCCAAACCCTAAACCCTAAACCCTAAACCCTAAACCCTAAACCCTAAACCCTAAACCCTAAACCCTAAACCCTAAACCCTAAACCCTAAACCCTAAACCCTAAACCCTAAACCCTAAACCTAAACCCTAAACCCTAAACCCTAAACCCTAAACCCTAAACCCTAAACCCTAAACCCTAAACCCTAAACCCTAAACCCTAAACCCTAAACCCTAAACCCTAAACCCTAAACCCTAAACTAAACGTGCAAAACCCTACTCCAATCATCGCTTGGTGGCCCAGTCGTGCCCTTTACCCCTTTTTTGGTTGTCTGGGTTCCCTAGTAACGAAAGCAACACCAAAAAGGGTGCCCTGACTATAAAATGGATGCTGGGCTACCAAGATAGGGTCCTCAAGCAAGGGGGCTTCATATGGGAGTAGGTACCTAGCAAACCTCAAGGAAACTTAGGGAGTTTAGGGAGTAGTGGGGAGGTATCGGGGAACGTTGGGTTACTTGCCCCACTTGAGTCCCCCGTCCCTTAAGAACCCTATAATCCTAGCACATGGAGATTGACCAGAGTCATGGTTCCTATGGAGGTCTTTAGTAGAGTTGGTGTAGGGTTTCGGGGGTTCATTACAGTTCAGGTTAGCTACCAATCTGGGCCTTCGATTCCATCACTTGAAATAAACCCCAAACCCTAAACCGACGGAGGCGAGTACTTCGGACACATTGAGGGTTTAGGTACCTCTTTTTCTGTTCCGATCATGCAGTCTGCATGCTCTTTCAAAGTCACGCGCGACAAGTTGTGAGCCCTCCTCCGTGCTGCTTCAATCACATCCCCCGACCCCCCATAAGACCTCACAGACACCCCATAGATATCCCTAATCAACCCTCATATGGGGGTTTCCGAAATTAGGGGCTACCTTATTGGGGGTCCTTATTGTCAGGGAATCCTACTATTGTGGGTCTATATTAGGGGCCCCCCCAATTTTCGCAAACCCCCATATCCTACACCTACACCCTAAACCCTAAACCCCAAACCCTAAACCCTAAACCCCAAACCCCAAACCCCAAACCCTAAACCCTATCCGAACTCTACGGAATCGCCTGACACCCCCCCCCCCCCCCCAGGTTGCTGGCGTCTCGGCTGCACTGCAGTAGAGGGCCTTGCCCCATGGTGACCTTGCTTGCGCGGTTTAGGGTTTAGGGTTTAGTGTTTAGGGATTAGGGTTTGTACTGGCTGGACCTCAGACCAGCGTCAAAAAGGGAGTAGGGTTTAGGGTTTAGGGTTATCCTGGAGTCGGGGACTGTTCTGTCCCTTTGGTTCAAGGTTCCCTTACCATGTCCAGGTTTTGTGGTAGGAACCTTATACCCTGTTCAGGGGGAAAGCTTTTCCTTATAAACACCATGAAGCGCCTAAACCCTAAACCCTCATCCCGAAACCCAGCAAAGCAGTCTCTCTGCAGTTGCCCCGTGGAGCATGGCTAGACGGGTGGCAAACCCTAAACCCTAAACCCTAAACCCTAAACCCTAAACCCTAAACCCTAAACCCTAAACCCTAAACCCTAAACCCTAAACCCTAAACCCTAAACCCTAAACCCTAAACTAAACTGGAACCTAGTGTTGTAGCAGATTGGCATCTCGAAGGGTAGATGTGGTCCCTTACCTCCAAGGGGGCTTCGGAAATATGAGGGGTTTCCGACATGAGGGTAGGGGGGGGGGGGGGGAGGTTTAGGGTTTAAGGTTTATAAGGTTTAGGGTTTAGTGTTTAGGGATTAGGGTTTCCGACATGAGGGGGCGGGGGGGGGGGGGGGGGGGGGAGGTTTAGGATTTAGGGTTTAAGGTTTAGGGTTTTAGGGTTTAGGCTTAATATAAAAGGGATTCCTACTATATAAGGAGTCCCGGATTTTCGTAAACCCCCACGTGGGGCCGCAAGGACCTTCAGCACTCGAGGCAAAAGCTGCTGGTGATCAGCGCTGCCCTCAGCAAAAGTAGCACTTCTCTTCCCGGAATCACGGCTTCGAGCAAGTATACGGTGTATAGGGTTTAGGGTTTACGGTTTAGGGCTACTAGATTTCCTTGTTTTGGGGTTGGGGTTTCCTTATACCCCCCCTTAAAAGCAAAAAGGGTGCCCTTTTTTATTCCTAGGTTACTCCTGGGTCTAGTATAGCGTCACCCTAAACCCTTAACTTTGTGGGGTTTTCCCCCCAAACCCTGAACCTTGGTGGCCCAGTGGTGCCCTTTGCCCTTTGTTTGGGGTTCCCTTGTAAAGTAACCAACCCCAAAAGAGAGTGCCCTTCATGATTAAATGGTTACGGGGCTGCCAGTAGGGTGTTGGAGATAATTTGAGGCTCAGCGGTGCGGCTAAGAGGGCCTTCTTCAGGTTTCAGGCGTTTTGGGGCTGAAGGGGTCTTGAGCCACACCCCCAAAATAAACCCTATAGCCTGCCCCCAGCCCGACGTTCATGGGTGGGCTGCGCCTGTTGGGATTACGGGAGGGCTTCAGACCAGGCGAGGCAAGAGCTTAGAAGCCTACTGCAACAGGGTTTTGGGGTTCGGGGTTTGGGACTTACCCTAAACCCTAAACCCTAAACCCTAAACCCTTATGTGACACTTGTGTGAGTCTAGACATGGGGAGTGCCACGACAAGCATGCGATGGTTGCACCGGCGGGATGTCTGCACTTGGCCTGCCGAAACCCTGTAACCTTAACCCAAAGCCCTTCTGAATCCCAAACCCTGAAGTCGAAACTCCATATCCAAACCCTAAACACCCGAAGTTGAGAAATAATTTTGGGTGGCCAAGAAGCCCAGCAATACAACAAACCTGTGAGGCTGAGAAGTAGTAACATAGGGGCCTTAGGAATTTGATTTGTTTTTTTGTTTTTTTTATAGTAGAACTATAAAGGGACCCTGCGGGAATACTGGTAACTATTCCGACCCCATACCCAAAACCGCTATACTGGGAGGCGCATATGGGTAGTTACTTCTAGCTGGCTGGGGTCTGGGGTTATGAGTAGGGTAACTGTAGCTGAACCCGATACTTATAGCCACCCATGAGCTTTGGTTTCGGGTCTAGGCTTTAGGGTTTAGGCTCTAGGGTTTAGGGTTTAGGATTTAGGGTTTAGGGTTTAGGGCCCAGGGAAACAAATCTGAATTGGATGTTGCGAAGAGCTGGCCGTATCGTGTGATTAGATGCAGGCGCCTGCTCCTTTCCACGCTGGTTGCTGTTGCCTGCACAAGCTACGATAGTTTTCTTTCTTTGTGGCTTTGGGGACCAATACGGGTGCCAACCCAAGACAGAAATCACTGAACAAACCTGAGTGACCCCACAAGAATAGTGGGTCCAAACATGCTGTGCAGCTTGGGATGTTCCCTCTTCTACTAACAGTGCTTATTAGGGATTGTAACAAGGGGTGTACTATCATCCCTATTAAGGACTCTTAGTAGAAGGGTGAACATCCCGAGCTGTACTTTTACCGCATCAAGGTCACAACACCGCGATCAGTGGCTGCGAGAAGGGCAAACAGTGGCAGCATGCCTTTACTCTGGTGGAGTCCATGCTGCTTGCTGCAACTGGAGGTTTAGGGTTTAGGGTTTGGGGTTTAGGGACTTGATCAGACACAGGATTTAGTTGCAACCAACTGTGCTTGGTGGCGTTCCTGACACGAACCCAGATATCGATTGAAGCTGTTTCAGCAGGAGTTTCACATCAGCCTTGAAACCTTACTTACACCCCAAACCCTAACCGCTAAACCCTAAACCCTGAACCCTAAACCTTAAGCTATCTTCTCGCTGCCTGCACATCCAGTCGCAAGCTGAATCTTTTTGCTGGCGCGCCAAACCCAAACCCTAAGCCCCCTAAAGCCAAACAGAGCACCCCTGGCGTTGGATCCACCCCCTAAACCCTACTCTCAACCCTAAACCCCAAACCCTAAATCCTAATACCTAAACCCTAAACCCTCAACCCTAAACCCTAAACCCCAAGCCCCCGAGAAGTCCGAGGCAGAATGACGCCATGAGAGCCGATGCTGTGAGCATTGGTGCCCTGATGGCGCCTTGGCACCCTTGGGTCCTTTAGGGCTTTAGGGCTTAGGGTTTTGGGTTTTGCTTTATAGAAACTGTATGGGGTTTGTGTCCGGAGTTTTGCAGGGTTTTGGCGGGTTTCGTTTTTCTGCATTTGCGCAGGTAGGGGGTGGGGGTAGGGGGCAAGGGCAAGGGTAGGGGGTAGGAGGGTGGGAGGGGGTAAGGGTGTAATCTTCTGTTGGTGCACTGTGAAGGATGCAGGATTATTGTACGAGCTGCTCGTAATGAGACATACAATTTCTGTTTATCCTGGCCTTGGGGGTTTAGGATTTTGGGTTTAGGGCTGGGCAGAAAGGGCAGCAGTCGAGTCCCTTGTGAAAAAGGGTTTAGGTTTTAAGGTTAGAGGCCTGGATGCACAAAAAGGGTTTGAGGCTTAAGGTTTAGGGTTTAGGGTTCAGGTTTGGTTTAGGCTTTAGGGCCCTCAGCCCCAAATTTTCCGACGGTTGGTAAGTTTTGGGCATTAGGCTTCTGGAGCATGCAGCGAGGATTGGGGCGTCTAGGGGTTCCTCAGGGCTTGGGGATCTGTTTATTGCCCTGCCTAGCAACACTTACCGCATTAGCAAGTTCAAGAGTCTATATTTTCAATACATCCACACATACATACATATGTATATATAGGTTTTTTTATTTTTCATAATACCGGATAACTATATATGTGAGAACCTAGTATGTTATAATCTATTTGAATACACTAGAATATATTATCTTGCACATTGTTATCTTCCAATAGAATAAGGGAACGGAAGATAAGTGGTGTGGCAGCATCTATGAGCCCGCGCGACTTGCGGGCTCACGAATAAACATCACCGGAACTTGAAGGGTCGAATCCAAGTTGATACGGCCTTAAGCAAGGTTTAGGCAATTTGGGGTATGTAGGGATTTTTAGGCAATGTAGGCAATTTAGGGAATATAGGGATTTAGGGGATTTAGGAAATTTCGTGAATTTAAGGAAGTTAGGGAATTCAGGGAATTTTAAGACTTTCGGGAACCGGGGAGTTCAAGGAATTAAAGGAGTTTAGGGAAGTTAAAGAACTTAAGCAATTTTAAGGAATTTAAGGAGTTTCAGGGCACTGCCTTTCGCCTGGCAGGCGGCGTTGGCCGGAGAGATGCGTCTTCTGGCAGCTATAATTGTTCCCCCCCCCCCCCCCTTGAAGCCTAAACTCTAAACCCTAAACCCCAAACCCTAAACCCTAAACTCTAAACCCTAAACCCTAAACCCCAAACCCCAAACCCTAAACCCTAAACCAAACCCCAAGCCCTAAACCTGAACCTTTAGCTTGCTGGTTCTTAGTCGAAAATGAGGTAGTGAGGTACCCTATAGAATGCCTCAAGGGACCCTCAACCCCAAACCCTAAACCCCAAACCTTGGAATATAAGGTGCCTACTTCCCATGCACCAGTGGGATCAGGGCTCAGGCAGTCGCCCCTGAACCCCAAACCCGAAACCCCAAACCCTGAACCCTAAACCCCAAACCCTAAACCCTGCAAAGTGCCTAATTCCTTTTCTTTCTGTTGAACCCGAAGGTCCTGATGTTTGAGTGAACTTCCCAGGGTGATGGAGGTAACTTGCTGCAGACTGAAGCAAAAATGGCCTTTCAGGGCTTTAGGGTTAGGGCTTAGGGCTTAGGGCTTAGGGCTTAGGGCTTAGGGCTTAGGGCTTAGGGCTTAGGGTTTAGGGTTTAGGGTTTAGGGTTTAGGGTTTAGGGCTAGCGAAATTGCGCCACGGGAGCCCTGAAGCAAAAAAGGGCTAGCGACATTGCAGCGTGATGTTTGCCAGGGTTTAGGGTTTCGGGTTTGGGGTTTGGGGTTTGGGGTTTAGGGTTCTGGCTCATATTGCTGCCGACTAGGGTTCAGGGCGCCCGCCATATCAAAGTTTTCGGACGCGCACGGCATAGTGCCCTATATCCCGGCTTGTGCTAGGATGGCTAGAGGACGTTACAATCTACAATTGGTTCTACAGTGTGCATGAGCTGAACTCATAACAAAGACACTTGAGGGGCGCAAGTACGTTTCGAAGCAGGTTTAGGGTTTAGGGCTGAGGGCTTAGGGCGTAGGGCTTAGGGTTTAGGGTTCAGGGTTCAGGGTTTGCGATGCTTTCGCAGAGCTAGGAACCTAGGGTTTGCATCGCGCTGTTTACGCTCTTAAGTTGATGGACAGCCAGTCATCGTCAACACGGCGGCAGGGTCCACCCCGCGAGGGATCTACTACCTTCGGTTCACCTTCACCGTGCGGATGTCGCAACGCTGGCCAACCACAAGACAAAACTCTCATACCAAATGCGACCATTCCCTGAGCATCCCTACAATACGTAAACCGCTGAAATGACCTCTGTGTTTAATACATATAGGATCGGAGACTTCGTAAGTGGGCTTATATTATAAGCAAGGCAAGTATACGTGCAAGTACTTATACAAGCCCAATTAAGGTACTTATAACCCTACGTACTAAGTGCCCCGATCCTCCAAGTTCCGAAGCGAAGCCCCTTTGAAAAAATCGATCGGCGGCTACGGGTTGGTGAACTTCAAGATGGAACTCCCTGATGGCAGTATTTTGCAGTTGCTGCAAGAATCCCGACGGAAATGCGCATACTTTGGGATCTTCCCCCTTACACTAACAGTCCTTAATAGGAATGATAATAGGGGTACTATAACCCCTATTAAGGACTGTTAGGTAAAAGTGGTAACATCCCAGCGTACACTGAGTATGTATCATCACATCATGCCCCACGCGACGTTTCCGCGAATGAGTTTTGAGACCTGCGGCCTCCCTCCTGTGACTTCGGGATTCTCTTGACCAACTACTAAACAAATTACTAAACCCTAAACCCTAAACCCTAAACCCTTCAGTGTTTCTGGACTCTTTTCGGGGACCCCAAGAATGTGAGGGCTCTGTATTTTGTTGAGAACCCTAAAGGTACCGTAATGTAGAGAACCCCCGCCAACAAAAGCCCTCATGTGAACTTCGGCATGGACTCCAAACCCTAGCCCAGAGAGTCATTTGTAGTGCTAGTGTGGAAATAGGTGCCCGAAAACCATACTAAATAGGGTTGGGGTTTACGCTTTAGGGTTTAGGGTTGAGGGTTTAGGGTACCTAGTTAGAGTACAGGCAGGGCGGCCTTGGCTCAGAGGGGATGTTATCGAGGCGGGCGAAGTCTCTTGGAAAAGGGTACCTAGTTCCGCAAATGCATATCCCAAAGCCCTATAAGCCCTAAACCCATATGGATACTCCAGGCAAAGTGTGGGGTTTTGCTTTCGGCGTCCTGTGCCCTCCAACCCTCATAAGTGTTGAGGGAAAAGGCGAGCACGGGAGCCCCTAGAGTTTTGATATCGTCTCTCTTTGTCCCTTTATCACCTCTATAGGGTTTAGGGTGTAGGGTTTAGAGTTTAGGTTTTAGGTTTTAGGGTTTCAGGGTTTTAGGGTTTTAGGGTTTTAGGGTTTTAGGGTTTAGGGCTTTTGTGTATACTAAACATCAAATATCGAATGCTCCGCGCATGGCAAGGCTGCAAACCTACACTTGAATCCAGATGCTGTTCCTTTGTGTGTGGGTATTGGGGCTGCTTCGCGTAACCCTAAACCCTAAATCAATACCCCCAAAAGTCGAGGGCGGGGACTTCGGGTCTAGGGTCTAGGTTTAGGATTTAGGATGTATAAGGGATAAGGGTTAAGGGTTTAGGGTTAGGGCTTAGGGTTTAGGATTTAGGGTTGAGGGTTTAGGGTTCAGGGTTTAGGGTCTGTGTTGTTGAGCCCTCAGCCCCCTCAGAAACCAGTCCCCGCATCTCGAAAGGGCTGAAGCGGTTTGCGGTTCAGGGTTCCGAGTTCACCGAGTTCAGATACATGAGGCCCTAAACCCTGAACCCTAAATAAACCCTACAGCCTACACCCTGAACCCTGATAGTAGAAGGGGTCCTTCAGGGACCGGGGGCGGTTCTAGGAGGGGGGCATCTCCATTTAACCTTCGGGACGGACGCCTGAGCTTTCGTGAGCACTCAAAGGAACCCTAACAGGGTTTAGGGTTTAGGGTTTGGGGTTTAGGGCTATAGCTTAATAGGGATTATAGTACTGGAGGGCATATGACTCATATGACCCCAATTTTAGGGTTCAGTCGGTCCCTTCGGTCGCCGTCATTGTGAGATCAAAGCAAGGTTGGTCCCGCGCGCTGGAGCTGCGTGAGGACTCGGAGCGACACTCGCTGGAAGGCTTTGAACTCGCACAGGTGTTCCTAGGGGCAAGATGGTGGTTCTCCGAATTGGGGGTACCCTCTCAAGGTCCTTACTCTAAGGGAATCCTGTTATTTGGGGGTCTGTTTTACGGGGGGCCCTATTTTCCGTAAACCCCCATATAGGACGTCAAGTTGACAGGATGATCAGGGATGATGTTTTGGTACCGCTCCTTTTGCGTACGGCCCAAGCGAGAATCCCAATCTAGAGAACTGCATACGTCTGGCAGCTTCCAAGGGGTTAAAGTGAGTACAGGCCGCACAGGCCGTTTGGTTGGAAGGTCGAATGTGTGTGCGGACCTTCTTGGTAGAGGGGTTCGTGTCTCTGATGTTTGGAGCAAGAGGAGTTTGGGAGCAAACAAGTCAAACGAACTCCCTTGTCATGCGGGGGCCCACGAGGTCACGGACAGTTGAACATCATCGGCTGCGACTTGGCCGAAAGTTCAAGATCCAAAACCCTAAACCCTAAACCCTAAACCCTAAACCCAAAACCAAAACCCTAAACTTCGTAAACACACCTCTCCCTTGGTCTGCAAGCTTCAAGCCCTCCAGCCTAAACCCTAAACCCTAAACCCTAAACCCCTGAACTCCGAGGCTCTCAGCTCTTTCAGCACGGATCGCCCCGAAGGGCTTAGGGTGGTAGGCCTTCGGGGTATCCGAAGCTTCGGAGTTTAGGGTTTAGGGTTTAGGGTTTAGGGTTTAGGGTTTAGGGTTTAGGGTTTAGGGTTCAGGGTTTAGTAGTACAGCTCATTGTCTGCACCAGCCCAGGCAACTCCCTCCTCAGTGCATTGGCGCGGGGAGGATGCTGGGCCAAAGCGCTTTCCACACTTTGCCAGATGTTGGGCCCTTGGCCGAAGCGGGTCGGCCTATCGGGGTCTTGCGCGCGCGACTTACTCTTAGATGCGAGCCCTAAACACTAAACGTGTGAAGGCACGGAGCAACCTTGACGACCTGGAACCCTGGGAACCCGGGGGGCCTGCCGAAACCCCAAAGTAATTTCACCAAATGATCGCCTCTGCCCATCTGTTTTAGAGCAATCAGCCAGGCTATTTGGTAATTTCTTTGGAGTCTTTTGGGTTAACTCTCCCGAACAACAAAGCACACAGAATCCTAGACCCTAAAAGCCCCAAACTCTAAAACCCAACCCTCAAACCCTAGACATACTTCGCCAATAGCTGAACTTGAAACTGTCGGGGTTGCTTGGTTTAGCAGGAATCATAAAGTTTGCCCTTTTACTATTCCTTGGTTATTGGCGAATTACGTATAAGTCCAAACCTCCTTAAGACTTCCCTTGGGGACCAAACGAACCCTAAAATTGGGTCATATACCCTATACGATTATAATCCCTATCAAGGTATAGCCCTAAACCTCAAAACCCTATAACTATTGTGTTAGTTTGATGAACTTTACTAACTTAACTAAGGTTACTAAGGTTTATTTTAGGGTCCATTTGGGGGTTTCCGAAATTCGGGGTACCTTGTTGGGGTCCGCATTCAATATTCTAAAGGAATCCTACTGTTTGGGGGCCTATACTAATTAAGGGTCCCTGGTTTTCGGAATCCCCCTAGTCCCGAAAATCAGTCCAGCCCCCAGGATTATGAAGGTATAAAACCCTAAACCCTAAACCCTAAGCATATTAAGGTATGGGAAGCATCAACCCGTTTAGGGTTCGTTTGGTCCCCAAAATGAGTCCTAAACCCTACACCCTAAACCCTAAACCTTAAACCCTAAACCCTAAACCCTAAACCCTGAACCCTGAACCCTGAACCCTAAACCCTAACCAGCTCCAAGGTCTCTCCTGGGTCCAGCACCAGATAAAGTCAGCTTCAGCGCCGTTGTGGCCGGCTTAGCTGAGGCGGAGACCTTTTGGGACTACATGCACCCTTTTTAGAGTTTAGGGTGTAGGGTTTAGGGTTTAGGGTCAGTTTAGGGTGTAGGGTTTAGGGTTTAGGGTCTACAGTGACGGTCTAGGGTTGAGGGTTTAGGGTTTAGGGTTTATGGAGATACCCTTTTGTACTAACATGATCCTTATTCATATGGAATCTGAACCATAAACCCTTTTGGGGCTTCATTTGGTCCCTAAGGAACTTCTTCGTTTGGAGCACTGCAGGGTGGGGCCCCCTTACTATACTAACTGTAGTTAAGGGACTTATAACCTAACTTAGGGTCCTTATCACCCAATTTAGGGCCCTTATAACTCTACTTATAACCCAATTTAGGGCCCTTATAACTCTACTTATAACTAGGGGGCCCCACCCTGTAGGTCTTCTTCGTTCGCTCCTGCGCGTTTCCACGTCTGCATCCCTTTGCATGCGCGCGCGGATTCGGCAGTGCATGCATCGCCCCAAGGATGCCCAGAGGGTTTAGGGTTTAGGGTTTAGGGTTTAGGGTTTAGGGTTTAGGGTTTAGGGTTTAGGGTTTAGGGTTTAGGGATCTTACAGGACAAAAACTCGCGCATGCTATCAGTGAATCCCGCTTCTCCACACCGATGTCACGGGTTTTGCGTTCAGGGCTTAGGGTTGTATAAATGAACCACACAACTAAACCCTAAACCCTAAACCCTAAACCCTAAACCCTAAACCCTAAACCCTAAACCCTAAACCCTAAACCTAGGGTTTAGAAATGAGCCACGCAAAACTCACAGACCATAGGCATGAAATTTGTGCCAGGGTGCTTGGGCGTTGGCCCTGGACGTCCTGGAAGTGGCACGAGATCGAAGGGCCTTGGAACCTCGGCTCCTGTCGGCCCACATGATTCTTAGGTTTTAGGGTTTAGGGTTATAGGGTTTAGGGTTTAGGGTTTAGGGTTAGGATTTGGGGATTGTTTGGGGTTTTAGGGTTATAGTGTTTAGGGTTCAGGGTTTAGTTTCAACAACAAGGTTTGCAACTGAAAGGCTGAAGGAGCTTGAAACGAGTCTAGCGTTGGCGGAGGGGCTCTTTGCGCTTGAGGGGCAACACCCCTTCGCACTGTTTAGGCTCAATTGGGGGGGGGGGGGGGGTTGGGGGCGGGGGGAAATCATCCGAAACCCTAAACCCGGCCTAAACCCTAAACCGCGCATCATAACTCCCCCAAGCCCAAGCCCTGCCCTACGGATGCACCGCATGGACAATGGCCTACGTGACATGCCTGCATCCCCGACTTCTGTTCAGGGTATTTAGGGTTTAGAGTTTAGGGTTTAGGGCTTAGGGTTTAGGGTTTATTTAGGGTTTAGGGCTTAGGGTTTAGGGCTTAGGGTTTAGGGTTTAGGGTTTAGGGTTTAGGGTTTAGGGTTTAGTGTTCTGAAAGAAGGCTTGGTAGCCCATTTGTACCCTTTTCCCTTTTTTTTTGTGGCTCAAGGTTCCCTTAGAAAGTAACCAACCCAAAAAAAAAGGGTGCCCCTATTAGAATGTGGTTGCTGGGCTACCAAGAAGGTTTGAAGCTCATAGGGTTGAAAGTCGGCCTTGAACCCACAGACCAGTCTGACCCCGAGACCTGAACCCTACACCCTACACCCTACACCCTAAACCCTAAGCCTTAAACCCTAAACCCTAAACCCTACACCCCAAACCCTAAACCCTAACCCCGAAGCCGCGCTCAGGACACCCTGCTTTGCACCGCCATCATCGATGCCTGTGCATCAGGCCGGTAGTTTCCGTGAGCACATGGGACTCCACTATCTATCTATCTATCGATCTATCCTTGACCCTGAGCTACCTGAGGCTGGGAGGCGGCAAAAGGGTTTGGGGTTTAGGGTTTATAAGGCTTAGGGTTTAGGGTTTAGGGTTTAGGTCTACTGTGCGCTCAGACCTTGGGCGATTGTGTGGTCGAGGGTTAGATGAACTTTCACAGGGTTCAAGAGTTGACGTATGTCACAAAAGGGGCCATGCGAGGCTCTGCCCACAGGCCTATGTTCGGTTTAGGGAAGAATTGGAAGGATTCTGGGTTCGATGATTCGCCAGCTTTGCTTCAACTTCGAGGCAGCGCTTACCTTCATTGTTGGGCAGATTTAACTTTGATTTTAGGTCAGCAATGTAGGTAGATCTACAAAGGCTCATGGCACTTCTGCTTGGCCTTGCCGCCTTTGGCCCAAGAAGAAGGTCGGCGTGCCAGCGCAAATATCGCCAGAGCCCTTGGGGACAGTAGGCAGGCTCCGCCGCCAGAAGCTTTTCATCACCATGGTGCTTCCAATGGCCTTGCTCCGCACTGCACAAAACCAGCCTATGCACCTTGGCTTATTCTCTTGTTTTTGTGTTTTTTTTCTGGGGGATTGGGATGTTCCCCCGTATACGAACAGTCCTTAAACGGGATGAAAGTACCCCCTATTAGAATCCCTAGTAAAGACTGTTAGTATACGGGGGAACATCCCAAGGGGAGGGGGGGGGGGGCTTAGAAAACTCAACGAAGTTCTGTGCCCAACCCATCTAGACGCAGCAACCCCTAAACCCTAAACCCAAATTTGCTGTGGATCAGGGCTCTAATGAGTCCACGGATCTACTCGGAGAAGCGGGGGCAATTAGTAAGTAGGGTTCTAAGTACCTTAATTGGCCTGATAAGTTTAGGGTTTGGGCTTTAGGGTTTAGCAATTGGGGTTACTCATAACCCAATTATAGCCATCTTAGCGAACTGAAAGGGCTTAGAAGTGGGCTATAAGTACAGTTATGGTTGGGTTATTAAGCACCATGAACCTCCAAGTTGCCAATCTCTACCCAAACCCAATCCCTACGCCCTAAGCCCTAAGCCCTAAACCCTAAACCCTAAACCCCTAAACCCCTAAACCCTAAACCAAGGGTCCTCCAAGCAGAGAAGGAGCTCCCCTCACCTTTCCCTCAGCAAAAGACCAAGGCATCAGCCTCTGAACCTCTGGCTGGTGTCTTCGGTAGGGAATGAGGGAATGAGGGCCCTATGTAATCCCTTACGGTTTAGGGTTTAGGGTTTAGGGTTTAGGGTTTAGGGTTTAGGGTTTAGGGGTATTTATAGGGCCCTCATTCCCTCCTTCCCAACGAAGAACTAGGGGGACCTTCTACCCTGAAAGTCCTGCAGCAGGTGCCCCTACGGAGGTGATGAGCTCCTGAACACAAGATTACTTGGCATTGTACACCCTAAACCCTAACCCTAAACCCTAAAGCCTAAACCCTAAACCCTAGGGTATGCTGACCCTGGTTGGTTCGTTACTGGTGGTCAATGCACCCACTCTAGAGATCTCGACAGGAGTTGCCTCGCCCGCTTGTGCCAGTGTGAGAGTCGAAACCCTACAGCCCGAGACTGTTACGCCGAGGATGGTGGAGCTCAAGAACGGAGAGACCTACAGTGGCGTGCTCGCCTCCTGCGATGGCTTCATGAACCTGCCTTTCGGAAGCACGTAGACCCCCAAGGGTTTAGGGTTTAGGGTTTAGGGTTTAGGGTTTAGGGAAGTACTACGCAGGGTGTGATAAAACAAGTCTACTTTGAATCTAAGGGGGCCGTGATTTTTCTGTTGGGTACAAGGGCCGTCGAGCCGATTTTGGGGTCCTTGTACATACTTGGGCCTCAAAAGGGCCTCCTATATAGCAGCTAACCTTTTACCCTAGACCTTATGTAGTTCTATAGTATGGACCCTATAGGGCCTCCTATATAGCTGCTAACCTTTTTCCCCTATACCTTATATAGTTCTATAGTATGGACCCTATAGGGCCTCCTATATAGCAGCTAACCTTTTCCCCTATACCTTATATAGTTCTATAGTATAGACCCTACAGGGAAGCAAGCCCCTCTTCGGAGCGCCAGGCACATGCGCGATATCGTGTGCACTTCCCGCGACGGCGAGCGCTTTTGGAAGATCCCGGAGCCTTGGGCTGGCTAAGCCCTAAAGCCTGAAGCCGAAATTTAGTTGGAGGGTTCGGGCTTAGGACTTCCTTGAGGACCAAATGAGCCATAACTTTGCGGTTCATATCTCCCTTTACTACGATTACATCTTTGGCCATTTTCTGGCAGTGAGGCTTCAGCGTGTAGGTTTGGGGGGACCCCTTTGCGGTTCCCGCGAAAACTATTTTGGGGTGCAAGAGGCATTGAAAACGCCCATAGGCCCATAATGATGTGTCGTAGAATGTTGGGCTCCGAAATGATAGGGTCTAGAAGGTGTAGGGGTGCTACAGTGTGTTTCGGCGACCGTCATAGCTGAGCATGGCCAGCTACCTTCATTCCTCACAGCCCAAAGTGCGAATTTGTTCATCGCTCGTGGTAGGTCTGTGTGGCGTTTTCTCGGTCCAAGCCATCCCAAAACCCTAAGCCCTAAACCCTAAACCCTAAACCCTAAACCCTGCACATGGCCACCGAGGAATGCTACGTTCGAGGCAACAGCATCAAATACCTACGCTTGCCAGATGAGGCCGCCCCAAGTATGGTGAGATGGGCTGGTTCCAGGGCTACTTGGGGGTTCATGGCACTTTCTGACCAAGTAGTACTTGCCCTTCTAACCCAATTATAACCATATTAGGGTAATTCAGGGGTGTTTAGTGGGTCATGAGTACAGCTATGATTGGTTCTTAATGAAGTACCACGAACCTCCAAGTATGAGGCACAATTAAGCTCGCAGGCCAGTACGTAATGAAGGTGCACGGGATGTATCACCAGCTCGAAGCATGAAGCAGACCATAGAACTTTAGGGTTCAGGTCCGCGCGCTGTTAGGTCTAGGGATGAGTCCGAGTGTTAGGGTTTAGGGTTTAGGGTTTAGGGTTTAGGGTTTAGGGTTTAGGGTTTAGGGTTTAGGGTTTAGGGTTTAGGGTTTAGGGTTTAGGGTTTAGGGTTTAGGGTGTGGGCGCTGTTACGTTCACCAAACTGCTCGCAGCTCGTCTCGCAGACATGCACTGGCAGGTCATCGACATGGTCAAGGACGAGCCGCAGTCTCGTAAGGACCCGAGGGTTTAGGGTTTAAGGGTTTAATTAGGGTTTAGGGTTTAGGGTTTAGGGTTTAGGGTTTAGGGTTTAGGGTTTAGGGTTTAGGGTTTAGGGTTTAGGGTTTAGGGTTTAGGGTTTAGGGTTTAGGGGGGCCCTTGCCTTTCGATCGGGATCGTGTGGTGTGGTTTCCGCTGCTGTTCGCCTCAATACCCACTAAGGCATTGCAGACATGAGTTCCTTGAGGACCAAATCAACCCTGAAAGGGTTTAGGGTTTAGGGTAAGTTGATGGTTCAGATACCTTCTCATAGGGACTATAGTAGTATTGGTGTATATGACCCCAATCTCAATTCAGATTCCTTAATAAGGCTTATAGTAGTATCGGGTAGATGACCCCAATTTTAGGGTGGTTCAGATTCCTTCAGAAGGCAGTATAGGGTATATGACCCCAATTTTAGGTTCATTTGGTCCTGGAGGGTGATCCTGTAGACTCGTACGGGCATGGAGAGAAAACGCATGTTCGGGAGCAAGGTTGTGTGCGTAGTATTGGTCTCAACTAGGGTTTTAGGGTTTAGGGTTACTAGGGTTACTAGGGTTACTGGGGTTACTAGGGTTACTAGAGTTACTAGGGTTACTAGGGTTACTAGGGTTACTAGGGTTACTAGGGTTACTAGGGTTTAGGGTCTAGGGTGAACCATAGGGTGCTCCAGCGCAAAAAAGGAGATTCGTCAGCAGTTCAAGGCCCGCGGTCGCGGCGGACGTGGTGGCAAAGGCCACCAACTTACCTAGACTAGGCCCAGAGTAGGCCCTTATTGTCTTTTTTTAGGGTTTAGGGTTTAGGGTTTAGGGCTACCAGGGCCCGGAGTAGGCTCTTATTTCCTCCTTTTTAGGGTTGGGGTTCCCTTATGATCCCCTTAAAACCAAAAAGGGTAGCCTTTTCATTCCTGGGTTTAGTAGAGTAGCTTTGTTTGCTTAGAGAAACCTTGCACCGCTACATATACCCCCACAATGAACAAAGGTACCTTTGCTTAATTTTAAGCTATAAACTTTGTGGTACTTTACTGTAACTTTAAATCCTTACCTTTTTGGGGTTTATTGGGTTTCTTATTAAGGCAGCTAAAAGTTTAATTTATAGGTACCCTGCTAAGAGCAGCCAAGTAAAGGTTCCTCTAGGTACCACATGCCCTGCGACCTCATTTGTGGGGGCCAGCCGAGGGGCTGTTTCAGGGGTTGACTTACCCTAAACCCTAAACCCTAAACCCTAAACCCTAAACCCTGAACCCTAAACCCTGAACCCTGAACCCTGAACCCTAAAGAACGGGCTCATGAAGCTGCTGTCTCCATATTTCTACGCTTCAGGGCCAGGAATCTCCACCATGGCCACGATGTAGAAGACTCTAAAGCCCCTTTAAACCAAAAAAACGGGCACCCTTTTTGTTCCCAGCTTACTCTTGGGTCTAGTGGGTTTAGGGTTTAGGGTTTAGGGTTTAGGGTTTAGGGTTTAGGGTTTAGGGTTTAGGGTTTAGGGTTTTTGGGTCAGGTCCTCATCCATACGAGACCTTGAATCGGGAAACTTCGGACAGCTGAACTTAGTAGCTGAACGAGTACACTTTTCACTTGGTTGGTTACTATAATCCAGTGAAAGTGTGCTTTTTTGGGGGGGCTTGTGAACTCAGCAGCTAAGTGAAGGCGGAGTCCATCCACAATGTATTCAGCTACTAAGTTCACTCCCCCCCCCCCCTGCTCCCCTCAACCATCCTAGCCTGAGT